TCGGGTTCTTACTCGTACGGCATTCCTGGGTTTGTCTCGACTTATGGAGCTCCACCTGGAGCATAATCAGTTTTCACGAATCAACTTCTTTCTTTTTCCTCGCCTTGCTAACCTTCGTGCCCTGTATCTACAATGGAACCGTATTCGAGCTATCAACCAAGGCCTTCCGTGGAGCTGGTATACCTTGCAAAAGCTTGATATCTCTGGCAATGAGATACAAGTTCTAGATCCTGTAGTATTTCAATGCCTTCCCAATCTTCAGGTTCTCAACTTAGAGTCTAACAAACTGGCCAATGTGTCTCAGGAGGTTGTGGCTGCCTGGATCTCCCTAACAGCCATTAGCCTTGCAGGCAACATGTGGGATTGTGGACCAGCCATTTGTCCTCTTGTTGTCTGGCTCAAGAATTTTAGAGGCACCAAGGACACTAGTATAATCTGCAGCAGTCCTAAGCACCTTCAAGGGGAGAAGGTCATGGAGGCTTCAAAGAGCTACATTGACTGTGATGATTATGAAATTACTGCTCAATCACCTTTGTATCTGCAGACCTTTGATCCAAATTTTGATCTTACCCCTGAACCAACAATGGCTCCTACAACATCGCCTCCACCCCTGCCTTCACCTGCCTCTGAGGCGCCTTTTCCGCCTCCCCATCCTCGACCGCCTCAACGTCCCACCTTCCCCAGCCGTGAAAACCCAGATCCCAGAGACTCCCGTCAATGGACACCCTCATCATCCGACAGCTTAGGAGTGACACCAGCTCCTGAGCAAGACAATGTGTCATTTCACAAGGTGGTGATGGGTGGGGTGGCACTGTTCCTCTCAGTGTCCCTTGTCTTGTCGGTAATTTATGTCTCCTGGAAACGTTACCCCGGTGCCACCCGACTGCTGCAGGAGAGTACAGTGGGCCGAAAGCGGAGGAAAAAGAGTCAGGAGCCAGAACAGAACCTGAGCTCCCAGCTCCAGGAATATTACATGAGCTACAATCCTGCAGCCACGCCGGAAGCCTTGGAGGTGCTGGGTAATGGGACAGGTACCTGCACCTGCACCATATCCGGCTCCCGGGAATGTGAGGTATGACATGTGAAAGCAGCCTAAAATCAAATCAGATCAAGCCAAATGAACGACTCAGGAAATAGAGGTAAATTCTCCATTGTGCATGCTGCAAATATTCATCAGAGCAAAGGTAAGCACCCTTGACTCCTTGACTTGACTTGAAATGACTCATGAAAGGGATTGTCTCACTTTCCTTGACTCCACTTTTTTAATTGATAGACATATTGTTTCAGTATGCATCTGTATGGGCATTTTTGGCTGATACCAATAATTATTTAAATTTTGAAGCTGATAACAGTCAGTCCAGTCCAGTTAAAATTCCAGTCATCTACATGCTCATATGGATACCAAACATCATATTAAATATATCTGCATTTTTTACTTATCAGACTGATAATGTTAACATTATCAGTCTGTCACATTTATTGAGTGATATCAGTATGACCACAGAAACATTGTGCATCCCTAATGTTGTCATAAAATGTTAACTCTAAACCAGGAGTCAATGGTTTCTTTACCAAAAAGCACTGCCCTGCCGCACACCTCTTGGTTTTGGCCTCGTTATTTCATTCGTGCAAGGCTTATTCATTTTGTTTGACTGAATGATTATGATTAGTATGCTTTGTGTTTGGGACACTAATAATAATAATAATAATCAAATCAGAGGTTTTCGGAAACCCTTTTACATCTCAAGTGAATATCACTTTCAGACAGTAAAATCCCTGCCCGTTGCATTAGGAATGGGTTTGCATCATTTCGCTTCTGAGAGTACAGCAGAAAGAACTTTTTAAAAAAGACATCTGTCGATAATTAAAATTGCAGTGCGGGCAATGATATATTGATTGTCACAACCCATTAGAACATGCAAAATGGCTCCTTCTTTACTTTCTAATGTCATGTGTTTAAAAGCATCTTTCTCTCTATCTGTCTAAATCCATAATTGGTTTTTATTCAGGTCTTTTGAAAGATTTTAAAGGCTGAATTTTAATTTTGGATATATTTCATGTGCAAAGCAATGACTGCTTTAATCATGTTGGGATGACATCGGTGATGACAGGCAGGAATATAGTAACGTTTTTCACCAGCGTTCATAGCAGTCTTGAGCGTAAAGTGAAGATGCTGCTTTTAACAGTTGTGCAAAATCCCATGATGTGAATCTACTTCAGTTCAGCCAGGAATAGTCTGTAAAAATCTGTAAAATCATTATGTGCAGAGAGCATGTCTGAACAATACAAGTTTCCTTTTGGCTGATGCTTCAGATTTTCTGTTCAAGTTTTATCAGCCAGGAATAGTCTGTAAAAATCTGTAAAATCATTATGTGCACAGAGCATGTCTGAACAATACAAGTTTCCTTTTGGCTGATGCTTCAGATTTTCTGTTCAAGTTTTAGTGTGTTATTCTAGAGATTCTAAGTAAAACACCACCTCCATAACAAAGTGGGTGGTTACATGGCAGATTCATTTGCACCTTGTCAATGCACTTGGTGTTACCCCAAGAAGATCTTGTTTTGAATTGTGAGAAAGCAAGAGAACACTTTATTGATCCCATAAAGGAAATTCAGGTATTGCAGCAGCTAGACTTCTTTCAAAAAAATTTCAGCTGAGAGAAAGTTTCACACCTTCATGGCAGCATGGAAGAAGGAGCTCCATGATATGGATGCTTTTCACGATTTCCAAAAGTCTGAACAGCATTGCCTTCAGCCACCACCTGCAGGGGAATGAAGTTTGGTCTTGGACTGAGGTACCTTTCTTGATTAAGCTAGAGCCCTGTAGCACCTCCTGCCTAGGTGCTGCAGCCCCTTCTTATACAGGGAGTTTGTTTTTGCTACCCATACCAGCTTATTGAATGGGTGGACCACATGTAGGCCTATACCACCCCAGTGTTGTCGCCATTTACAATGACAGGTGTGAATCGAGTTCTTTTCCTCCCAAAGTCTCCTTACCGTTGCTTAGTCTAAGTCTTAGAAGAAGATTTTGAATAGAGGCAATGGATTCCAATAGAACTATTCACATTGAATGTGAACTTTCACCCACTGACAAAGAGATTATTAATTTTTTTTTTTTTTTGAATGTCTGTTTTTTTTCCTTGTCCAGCATTGAAATGCATCGGCCATTAAGGTCCAGAGGCAGTGCAGATACACATATCACAGCATAATTTGTGATTGGCGAGTTCTTTGTACAAATATTCACATTCACAATTTAGCCTCAATATTTTTGTCTGTATTCTAAACACATTTCTACATGTACATTCTTAACATTCTTCAACATTTTCATAAAATATATTTCAGCCAGTGTTTATCCTGGCTCAGAATGAGGCAGAGGTGGTAACATCCTGATCATGTGCACATATGCACTTGTACCATGCCTTCAGCTGGCTGTAGCAAACACTTTTTTTACAAACAACATATTTTAGGTGTTCTAATAATTAGATGATTGAAGAAAATAACAGTAATCAAGTTAAAGCATATTCTACAAAAAGCTAACCTGTTGAACATTAAATGCAATATATATCCACTCCTCATAGTCCAATGCCTCCTGGCCCACATTGCTTTGGTCCCAAATTTATCCATTTTTTATTAAGAGTCTTTCTACAAAATAAAAGAAAACTACTTTTTATGACCTTACATTAATTATTTTGCCAAAATGCATGAAATACGTATAATCACAGCAGAGTAACAGGTGCATTAGCGCTAACATTAGCATCATGATACAGGAGACAATATAAGATTAATACTACACTTTTACTCTAAACTCACTTTAAACTGCCATTGAGTGTTTTTAATATCTTCCAGTTGCGATCTAATGCACAAATCACATACAAATCATTACTATCATAATCATGTGTTTATTAGCTTTATGTCTCACATGCAGAAACACTTCTCTGGGTTTGCTATGTATGGAAAAGAATGTGAAAGTTCGTCATTGAAAGAGACAGGGCAGTTTATGAACACATAATATGAGTGACATAACAGCGATCATGCAAGAGAAAGCATAGGCAGACAACGCTGGAAGCTGCTAATGCTCATCAGGTCGCACCATTCAGTGGAAAATTAATAGAAATTATGATTATGTCCAAAGAAATATGAAGCGTGTACAGATATCAGTATTTCTCCAAATGTGCACACTTTTGGATTAAAATCCCTAGTGGATGCTGTTTAGTATAGCTTGCATGTGACTGCCTGCCTCAGTTGTGTCGAAAGCTACAGGTAGCCACCTCGTAATTCTCTATGCAGGAAAAACCCTGTATTTTATTCAATAAAAACAAGGGCTGTCAGAAGTTTTTTCAGTCTTTAAAATATCACACTACAACTGGTCACCAGTTTGCTTTTACAACATTGTTGTTTTTATACTTAAACTCTTTTAAACGATTCCAACTCAAACTTAGTAGTAAATTCATGTTATGTCATGTCTTGGGAGTGAGTCCACCAATATCATTCTGTGAGTTCATATCGTTGTAGATTTTTTTCACCTAGCATGAAACTAGAAAGAACATGAAATACGAAAGTCTGCAATATTACATACCATTATCTTTAAAGGAAAGGAAAGGACGTGACGTGTGGCCAAGTATGGTGTCCCATACTTGGAATTTGTGCTCTGCATTTTAACCCATCCAAGTGCACACACACAGCAGTGAGTAGTGAACAAACACACACACACCGTGAACACACACCCGGAGCTTTGGGCAGCCAATGCTGTGGCGCCCGGGGACCAGTTGGGGGTGCGGTGCCTTGCTCAAGGGTCTCACCTCAGTCGTGGTATTGAGGGTGGAGAGAGAGCTGGCTATTTACTCCCTCACCTATCAATCCCTGCCAGACCTAAGACTCGAACCTGCGACCTTCGGGTTACAAGTCCGCCTCTCTATCCATTAGGTCACGACTGCCCCTAATCTTAATTACTTAATCTCTTTTTTACCCATGTTTTTGCTGCTTACTTTCAAGTGTTTTTGGTTTTTATGGAATTTAATAAATTATTATTATTATTATTATTATTATTATTACATATGTCTGATTACAGAGCAGCTAAGAGGTGTGTAATAGAAAATATTGCTCCTTTGAAACATTTACAAAGAACTGAGAAAAAAAAAAAATATATATATGTATATTTACCAATCAATATTAAAGAAAACAATTTAAATATAACAGCATAATTTACTAGACCTTTCAGGTCCTTGGTCTCAGTAGAACCTTTGTTTTTGTTGTTGTACTGGTTCCTGGCGATGTTGAATAATACAAGAGCAAGCATCCATTCTGCTTATGCGAGCACAGTGTTGCTGTGCCGGGTTTAGAGCTTTTCATTTCAGGCCATGCACAGTGGAGGCTGTCCCTGTGGATGCTAGTAAGACGCGTTGATTATGAGCAGTACCCGTGTATCACAGTGTGCTGAAGCTTTTGGTCTGTAATAGAATCTGCAGTGGTGAGGAGGAAGGGCAGAAGGAATGAAAGCTCAGGCAGCTCTTTGGACTTGAATGAGCTTATTCATCTGCTCCTTTCCCACAGAATGCATTAGTAAGATTCAGACACATTGGTTCTGAATTTTCAGTACGTGAAAATAAAATCACAGTGTGACTGGTAACATGCTTCAAATATATCTGGAATAAATGTAAAGTATAGAGTACAGTCAGCTGCTCTTTAGGCTCCTGCATGATTAAAAAGACTGAAATAATATTTTATTGTGAAACATACTCCACAACTGTGAAAATGTATTATTAGTATTATTATTAGTAGTAGTAGTAATATAATTAATTTATTTGTTTGTTTGTTTGTTTTTTGTACAGTTTGCTTTAATTTTTTCAGTGCTGCATTTGTGTTACCTTTATACATTTACCAAACACTTTTAACCAAATTGACGTACAGTAGAGGAATATACACAGTTTGTAATTGTTTGAGCAAACAATACTCATAGTATATAACACCTGGTTTAATGAGAGCAGTTTCAAACAATCAATTTATTTTCTGATTTAACAATTATTCACTCACCCTTTTTCATCAGTACTTAAGATGAAAATTGTATAGATACTTT